ATTAGAGCTCTAAATTCTCTCTGAAGGCCCCCAATTTTCACCAATGGGGATTATTCAGGGGGCGCACCCCCACTTTTCTAGCCTGTCTCCCTACCTTGTTCTCTCTTTTTTTCTGCTCCACAGCTCTCCATTTCTGAATCGGGCTCCCTGGGCAACTCTTCGGGCAGCGACGTGACCTCTTTGTCTTCCCAGCTCCCCGATACCCCCAACAGCATGGTTCCCAGTCCGGTAGAAACGTGAGATGAGCCCCCCCTTTCTAACGCCTGACCCTTCGTGGACTTTCGCATGCTTTTGCTTCTTGCATGAGAACTGAGCGCTAAGCAAACACAACTCGTTAAATTATTACCTTTATTTAAAAACCCAGCTCCATCTCTTCTCCTGTTGTGGCTGGACCTCTTCCAGGATCCCCCTGACTTTGCCAAGCGGGCAGGGGAAAAAGGAGTAAAACTTCCCAGGAATTCTGTTCCTCCCCCCTCCAGGAATACCTCTGGATTTTACTCGAATGACACTTAAATCCTGTTCTTGTAGTTTTAGAAGATGGCTCTTTCTGTTTCATTTTCTTTTCAATGGAAGAAACCAGCTCAACGTGCAACGGTTGGGGCTTCCGTGTCTCGGACCGGTCAGAAGTTGGGCCATCCTGTTGGATTCATCAACCAGTTGCCTTCATCTCGATCAGTTCTGGGTGCCCATTGCCAACTGTCCAGTGGCTTCCTGCTCCCAATCTGTCACACCCTGCCTGGAAAAACCTGGAACTTTTTTCTGTTTCTTCGGTGGCCCCAAAAGAGGAGTATTCTTTTTCCCTTCTCTGTCTCTCCTCTGAGCCCGCATGATTGCTGGAACAATTCCAGCAGGACTTGTGTCCCGTCCAACCCCCCCATTGCCAGTGTTAAATTATCTTATGGATGGAAGGTGTGTGGTTCTTTCTCAGTCTTTGCAGACCAAAGTAAGTTATTGTTATTTATTATCGCGCGGCAGCAGGCGAGCAAGTGGAATTGAGAATTTGACCTGAATAATAAAGGAACAAATACTTGATGAGAAATTGCTTCGATCCTTGTGTTCTACCACTTGGCCTTCGGAAGAGTTAAGGGAGCTGTAGTTTCCTGCGAGAATTCAACTGCAGCTCCTTCAAAAGTTGATGCCAAACTACAAAGCTTAATTGGATGGTCATTTAATTTGATAGTAAAGCCTTGCGTTGAATCTGGTTCCTGCTGCCTTTGCCCACACGCGCATGGATCTTTTTTAGAAGTGCACTGTCACTTCTCCTGGCCACTATTTTGTTTTTGTCTTCCCAATCTAGGAATTCTTAGTGTTCTCCCATCCAAATAATATTCAGGTCTGAACCTGTTTAGCATCTCAGGATCAGCCAAGTTTTGCCAGGGGCGGCTGCGTAACAAAGCAATTCAATACAGAAGGGAGTGAATACACAGGGCATATTCATTTATTGGATTTCATTCATTATATTTCCTTTGGATGAAGTTTATTTTAATTAAATCAAAGCTGGTTTAGATGGTTCTCATGGCCTTGCTCCATTTCTGAAGGGTGGCTCTGTCATCCTTGGTCCCCGCCCCCAAAATGGTACATTTCAATTCTATATCAAGAATGCTTCCATAAAATATGTTGGCTGGTTATTGGGCAGGGGAAAACTTATAAGACTTTATCAGCTTTCCTTCATGGATGGAAGAGTAGCCCAAATTCTTACAAAAGTTTTTGAGGGCTGTGATTTGATCTTGCTCTGAAAGACTGGCTTTGTCTATGCCCAGGGTACACAGGCTGAGAAAAATATTTTGTAATTCTTTATTTTCTTGCATTAGCACTCCAATATCTACACGTGCAGATTCCCTGCAAAAACAACATACTGAAATAAAAACTTGTGGAACTCAGGACCTCATTTTGAGACCAGAATGGATCTTTCTGGAGCTCGCAGCCCTTTGACGCAAAAATGCATTGTCTAACTCTGCAAAACTTTCTTGATTTCTGCAATATCGTTCCTTGGGTGGGAGGGGTTCAGCAAAGAAGGGCCCTTTGCTTTTGGGCTTGACAAGAAATTGAATAGAAACCTTTTTTAATCCAGTCATCTTTGTTGCTTTTTTATAGTCAATGAAGGAGTGATGGGAAGAAATACTTCTCAATATATTTTTTTCCCACTCCTCTGCCAGTTGCCAAAATGACTAGAGCAGCTTTGGACATTATGCATCTTGAAAACCACCTGCTTTTCTGCAAATTGTGGCAAAGTGTCTCAGGATAATTTTGCCAGCTTATTACCCCATGGCAAAGGCGGGATGTGAGTTATTAGAAGATTCCCCAGAATGTACAAATCTGGATAAAATAGAAACCATCCTGTATATCTTAATAGTAGCAATAGAGATTTTTGGCTTTTCCCTGAGCAAAGAAAAGGGAATCATTTTTCTACTTTTGTAACTGGTTGCATGCTTCTTTCTTTGACATAATTATTTTGCTTCGTTTTCAAGCCGTTCTTTGCAGTCAATAAGGACTAGAAGCTTGGTTTTTAAAAAGCGTTTTAAAAAGGAACTTTAATAATGTCCCAAGGGGTGTTATTTGGGATTTGGGGTTTTAATAGAGTCCAGGTTCTCTGCCCATAGTTATGAGGAACGAGCAGAGAGGCATTGTATTTATTTATTTATATTTCAAATTTGTCACCGTCCATCTCACTGCAGAGCGACTCTGGGCAGTTTTCAAGCCCTTTGCAGGGGAAAAAAAATGGCTTCTGTTTATTCTTTTTTACATTGGATTATAATCCTCTGTTCCCATCCAGTCTGCAACCATCTTATTAAAAAGATTAATTTATTATGGGAGGGCGGAGCAATAAAAATAATGAATTAAGGGTGGTAGAGAGGTCAATGGTCATTATTAGAAATTGTGGAGGAGTTTCCTATTCATAGAAAGTGGAAAGTACTTTCCACCAGTGTGACTTCAGTGGCGTCTCTCTGTCGTCATACCTGGTCATAAGATCTAAATTTCTTTGTGCTGTGATCCCAGCTGCTGTCCCACCAGGTGATCCTCTAAATACTTACAAGTAAAATACCGATCCTTTTTCATACGTCTCCCTTATGCCAAAGCCAAAATGTCTGTGGGGGGCATTTAAAGCAATGACACAACTTTGCTGTGCCTTTTATAGGAACTTTCCCCCCTTCTCTGTGGGGTAGGATTTGAGGGAAGAGATTGCTCCAAGTTGGGGGGGGGGGGTTTGGAGAAATGCTGAGCCTTATTTTTTAAAAAAGGAAATTGAATGCAACTCTGAAGGTTTCATGGACATGTGAACAGTTTTCTTAGCAACTGTATAGAAGCGAAGTATCATGTCGTCCTCTCAGCGAGGACTTCCAAGTGGTGTTCCATCCAAGCCCCTCTGCTAACTAAGCCATCATCGCATAAGAAGGAGAAATAAAAGAAGCTAAATGTGAGCTTTGCATTAACCCCCAAGCCCACATTCCCTTTTCTTTCCTCTGCAAACGTAAAGGAAATGGTCTACTCTAAACCTCTTGTGCTGCCCCAGGAACTCACTCTTATTATGGTCCAGTGTTTTAGCCTGTCTTCACTTCCCTTTACCCCGCTTCATCTGCACAACCCTGCGAGGTAGGTTCAGCTGTGAAAGACCTTGTTTGGCAAAGATCATCTGCGCTGATTCCCGAGACCAGAAATTCAAACATGGGGCTGAGGGGAGCTGTCGGGACTATACTGTATCATGGGGAGGGGAGGGGAGGAAGAGAAGAAAGGAGGGTGGTCTAGTCGGAGGAAGAATTCAGTGTTGAATTCACCATTTTAGGATCGCCTCTCATTGTCCGGCTTGATTGTGGGAGTTTCCCCATCTTTCCCAGAACCCAACTGCCTCAAAGGTCCTGATGAACTCGGACCGTCCGCCTTGTGTGGGGAAGCGTCTCTCTGGGTCCACCACAAGGGCTAAACAGGGGCCTTGTGACTCTTTTAGCTTTGGAGTGTTTGCAGGTCATTTTAAACGGCTCTGTTTTATTGATAAACCCAATTGGTGACGCCGGATTGTGTACGGGCTTCCTGATTGCCCATGATGAATGTATTTACCAATCAAATTTAGGATGTTTATTGCTCACCAATGTATTTATTTGCAAGTCCAGTGCATGGCCCTGCAAGTCGTGGCCTCATCTGGGGGAGGGCCGCATTAGCCACCAATGCATCTTTTCTTAACTTCGGCATGGGGTTCTGCCTGGTGGGACCTCTGCCCTCTCTTCCAGAGCCCGCCCTTGTTTGAGGCTTGCCAGGTCTCAGCTGGCTGAAAGCGGGCTCCCTCCAGGGCTGGTCCCTGCACGTGGGTTTCAAGTTTCCCTTCTCTTCTACGCCCCTGGGATTTCCTGGTGGTGCCCTGTCCAAGGAATAGCGGAGCCAGCCCGGCTTAGCTTTTGAGCCACCCGCCCGCGGCAGCGGCCTCTTCGGGGCTTCGGGTGGTTGCAGGGACCGTTTCTTGGCAGCGGCACGGGGCGGTTGGCGGTGACCTGGGTGCTCGCCTTCCCACGCGGGGCTGCGGGCTGCGCGGGGCGCGCAGACGGACTTCCAGCGCTTTGAAAGC